CCTGCAGATTAGCGTCTTCTGCAGCACGGACCTGCCACGATGATGAACATAGGTCTCATGTTAGGCAATAACGTTACCTTTTCACCCCCACAATCTGTAATTAAAATGACGCAAATAAATCGGTTGGCTCTGCACATCCGATATTGTTGTGATATGAGGCTGGTGCAGATCAGGAACCAAGCCGTACCATCGGAATTAATCCCGAGGTGTCTATACGAAGAAACAAGTTGATTGGAAATCAACTTGACCTACTCTTTGTGTATATATATAGCCTCAGTTATTCCCTCTAGTTCAGTATAATTTAATCTTCCTTTGAACTACAACAACCAATTCCGTCAGGCGTGCAATGATTTCACTACATACAGTGACGCAGCAAATGTTTTAACACCCTTGGACAGACCGCTTTTGAGACCGCCTATTGTAAAACAAAGAGCAAGTTAATGTTAACTTACTTTTTAAACATTCTTGTCTCAGTAGGTGTTTTTTATAGAAGGTATGATCCTATTCAATACACAAAGGCCAAGTGTTTTGTTAAGAAACAAGTTAAAGGGTGTTGAAAAAAATCCAATTTTTGACCGGCAGAATCTAAAAAATCAGAGGGCTGTTAAAACATTTGCTGCGTTACAGTAATTAAGCACCCGGCGAGCCCTATCTGCGATGTCTTTTATCGATCGAAGTAGGTCACTGGAGACCGTAGTTTTCAGTGTTCCTCTCCTGTCAGGGCAATCTTTGTGCGTTCGCACTCGTCGCAACTATCGCTACCATCTCACCTTGTCGTGGGTATCAGACGGTAGCGTTTAAAGTTGCGATTAAGATGAACTAATTCCCGAGGCCGTCGGACCTCTAATTGGCGAGATATTGAGGAAAGCTTTTTGCCAAGAAAGAGTTCCAACCTTGAGCCTCCTCATTTGGAGGGACTTTTGCCCTCTAAAATCCGGCTTCACATAAACTCTACAACTTGAACTGGTCTTACCGACGTTGGTTAGTCGTTCCCTTGTAATATTACAGAGCGAAACTTTGGCACGCAGCTCCATGCCAATGCGTGAACTTTGATGTTATTTCTAAAACACGTTGACTTAGCCAGGTTATAGATATCACGTTGCAATGCGCTGAAAATGGCTCGCAATGCTTTCGAGAAGGTGGAATGGTGTACCGTTTCTACCCCATCCGAAAGACCCTATAAAATGCTTAGACTCACATACACGCTTTTGGATTGTCAACACTTACACGGCCTATTGAACGTGGCCACCAAAGCATGTAGCTCTCGCTTTCTCCCTAGACCTGGACGCACCACTCGCAATAAAGATGCTTACGACAAACCGAACACAGTATGCATTCGGATTCAGGTCCAGTACTGTCTTCCGGTCTCGTCGATGGATCTGGTTCCGCTGGTTAGGATATCTAACCTGTCTGGTCACCGTCCTGCGGGTCTACTCATATTTCGCACAACACCCAGAAACGAATCTGATTCGAGCTGCTTATAATTCCTTTTATCGACCAGGGATTCTTCTACCCGGTCAGTATCAGGAAAATGCTGTGTTTATGCCTGCAACTTATGACGGGGAATATGAGGACCCTGATTTGGATGAGATGGGGCTGGTCCATGACCGGAGGTTTGAGGTCCAATTATCTTGGAAGTTAATTGACATGATGCTAATCCATGATATCACCATCCTCAGAGACAAGCAGTTCTACCTCGGTGGTACCCTGACCCTGACCAGTATCAAATCCGTCAACGCTTCTCACCCGGTCCCATTCATCTACGACCCATACCCAGCATACAACAGTCGAAAATGGAAGAAGCAATACCATGGCAGATTCCAGCCATGCATAGGTCCTAGAGGCCATTTTCTCGACCGCAAACGACCAGAAGATATGGTCCAAGTCTACAAAGGCCGACAAACCGGATTCCCCGAACCACGATTTGGATCGCATGGGGCAATGGGCTTGGACGGCGACGTGTGTACAGATCGCTACTCCCGCTTTGGAGCATATGGATTCGACGAGGATGGCGAGGACAAAATACCTGGTTTCTCACGGCCACCTGCGGTACCGTGGAGCCAGGTCGATTGGTACGAGTTGCAATCTCTATGCCTGGAACGAAATTCTGGCAGGTATAAGTCAAGTGGTGTGGTGAATGTTTCGATGGGGAGTCCACTTTCTTTTGATCTTCCTAATTCCCCTCATAAAACTTGGGAGTCGCCTCCTGTTACGGCTTCGAATGTGAAGCGGTTTCATCCTCGCACTGCGCTTTTGATTAGGGCTTGGAATGGGTTGACTTGGAAGCCGCATCATCGTGAATATCTCCGTGCTTTGATTATGGAGCTCGCTTTGCATTCTGGTGGGGAGTATCAGGTCTTTCTTTTGATCCATGTTAAGGACGATGAGATGCCGATTTTCTCGGATACTAAGACGATCAATCGGCTTAAGAGTTCTATTCCAGAGGAATTTCGGAATATGGCCCTTTTCTTTAACAACAAACTTTTGGAGGCTTGGTATCCAAAAATTGAAGAACATAGGTGAGAATACATTGAGTGTGAAATTTTGGTTCTCATGTTGACAAGATATACAGTCCCGTGCTTCAGCACCACCAACCAATGCAGATCTTCGCCCAGTTATATCCCAACTTCGACTACTACTGGCAACTTGAACTGGACGGTCGACACACGGGACATATCTACCACTTCTTCGAGCAATCGGTCTCATTTGCAAGAGACCAACCACGAAAATACCTTTGGGAACGAAACGCCTACTTCTACACCCCCGGCGCCCACGGCAACTGGAGCGAATTCACCGCGATGGTCGGCAAAAGCCTGCAAGACCGATCAAACAGAACAATATGGGGCCCAATTTCCGGCACAGGAATCAGACCCCTAGGCCCGGACCCCCAGTCCCCTACCCCGACGACGACAACTACACCTGGGGCGTCGGTGAAGAAGCAGACTTCATAACTTTCCTACCCATCTTCAACCCAAAAGACACAGCGTGGACATTCCCCAACAAAATCTGGAACTTCAAATACGGCGACGAAACCCCACGCCGTGCGGCAGTTATCACAATGGGTCGGTACTCCAAACGTCTCCTAGATCTGATCCATTACGCACAAGCGACTAAGGGACTCGGTCTTGCTTCTGAAATGACGGGTGCGTCGTGGTCACTATTCCATGGCCTAAAGGCTGTGTATGTTCCGCATCCTATCTATGCCGATGGCCAGTGGACGCCGCAGGAACTGGCGCGCATTTATAACCCCGGCACGCCGGATAATATCAATGGAGGTCCGGATAGTATTTGGAATTTTGATCATTTGTTCGACCATATTACTTATCGGCTTTCGTACATGTTTACTACGCATATGGCGGAGGATTTGTACAGGCGCTGGTTAGGGTTTAGGACTGCGGAGCATGAGGGTGGGAAGACGGTAAGTCGTTTCCTCGAGTGTTTCTCTTCTTTTGGATGTATGTCATGCTGATGTGTGTTTTGATGCAGTCGTTTGAGGATCGGTTCGGGAGACATTGTTTCCCGTCAATGTTTCTTCATACAATCAAGAATACTGCTCATGGGATGGGACCAGACAGGGCTGTTCCGTGATCTATTCAGAATTGGTGGGCTTCGTTGCATATTGAGATTCTATTGCTTCTGGTGATATGGAGGTTGGAAGGCAAGCTCGGGACATATTGATGCTTTAAATTTTAACCAAGAGGAGGTGATTGCAATGTAAGAATGTTGATATTGACTGTAACACCACCACCTCGACACAAGCAGGACCCCAAAAAAAGGACACCAAGAATTGGACCTGGTTAATCTGCTCAGGCTGTCCGTGAATTAAACAATAATAAAGGGATCAATCAAACATTGACATGAATCTGGAAGTCATTTCAATAAGTTGTCTCTTGGGAACGAAGGGGTGTTATCAAGCTCAACCGAAGTCCCTGTGGCCGACCTGCTCGCCTCCATACGAGCAAGTCGAAGGTGGTTTGGCGCGACCCCAGCCCCTCGGTGCCAGATGGCTGTGCCAAAATGCCCCCTGCGGGGGTCCAAGACCATCTTCTGGGAGAACGATGGTCGAGGGATGGGGTAAGTAGTGAAAGAGTTTCCCCGGAGTGACCCAAATTTAGGCACCTTCCATAATTATTTCAAGAAGATTTTTGTTTTCTTCTTTCCACACAGATTGACTTCACTGCCTATTGCTAGTCCCTTGTTAACTTCGATCCTCGTCTTGGCGTGTTCAGTGTAACAGCCTCGGGTCCACCAGTGGGACTTTATACTGTGCATTGACCTTAACCGTCTCCCCGTCGACGGCCCAGCCCGGACCATCAGCCTCAATCCAGAATCCTTTCTAGAAGTCCTTCTTGAGCATGGTGCACATCCAGATGCCATAGAATCCAACTACGAGACTCCAGCACCACTGATGCGTGCATCTTCGGGGCCGGACTTAGTGATATAGAAAATTAGACTCTTGTAAATCTGGCATTAAAAGTTTTGGATTGAAAATCCTGGATGAATTCATGCAATTCTAGTAATAACTATTGATAGACTGCCACACTGGCGCCATGCAAGGTAAATATGGGAAGCAAATAGGAAACCGGAAAGGTGGTAAAAGACACGTGAGGCATGTTTAAGGAATACATCATTGGATAGAGAGCAAGGGCCCGTCGCATGCATAGGTATTGCAAGGATATGGGCGTGGCAGAGAGAATAGGGACAAGATGCAAGGGCGTACTCCAAGGTGAGGAAAGGGGTACCAGATAATCCAATCATATCCAATCATACCAATGCCCGCAGTAGGTCCCTACTCTCTGGTAAATCCCTCCTTTCTCGTAACCTCTTCTATGCTTGGCTGTGCGACAGAAGCGCGCGAAAATAGCCTGTTTATTACTCGCTCATGGAGCCAACATGAACTCGAGATATCTTTACAAATGGGTCCCCTTAGCATATAGCGGTGGAAAACGGCGATATAAAGAGTACCGTCATGCTTCTTAATTGGGCTGGGATCAAGCTGATCACCACTGATTTGCATGGCCGCACTGCGCTTCATCGCGGCAGAGCTGGGACAGAACCTTATATTCCAGCTTCTTCTTACCGAAGCTGGTACAGATTTTGAGGCCGTTGATCATGACCAACGTACAACCCTCCATGTGGCATCTGTAAACGGGCACATCTTGATAGTCGAGGTGCTCTTGAGGATACCCTAGGTTAATCTGAATGTTAGAGACATCGATGGTGACACTGTCCTGTGTCTCGCACAGGACAAACAAATAATACGGCTCATATTGGCACAGGATGGCGTGGAGTGAATGCTGTTGGACAGAAAAAAGGACAGGGACACTTCATCACGCAGTGAAGGATGCAGACATCTTGACAGCACGTACTCTGCTTCAGCACTCTGAGCTCAACCTAATCAAACAGACGACGTGTACTGGACGCCTCTCTGTCATGCTACTATAATGGGATTTGGCCATGGTGAAAGTACTTCTTACTAGAACGGACATTGATTTAACAAGTCGAATACTTCTCCACTGTTCATCGCAACACGTGACGGATATGTCTCTATTGTAAACCTACGGGTCAGGGCGCAAGGTGTGAATTTCCAGCAAACTTGGTGCGTGAACCGCCGTTGGAGCTTAGTATCGACAGAAATTGCTGTGAAATTGTGAAGGTTCTCGTTGAGCAGCACAAAAAGCAAGAACTGAGCGTCTCTACAAGTTGCTTATAATGCCTTTTAGCCGGTCAACCAGACAAATGAAGAAATTGAGTAATGAAAGCTCTTGCGGTCCTGGTGGCTTACAGATATGGAGTTTCAATGGAAGGAAGCAAGGGCGTTAGAAGGCCCTCCTTAGAGCCGCGCTTTAGGTACAATCTAAATGGGGGCTGAACAGACATCACTTTTTCTCATCGTGACTGGTTCCTGCTGAGCCTGTCGCTTGAACTAAATTTATTCCCTAAAGTACAACGTAATTCATGCGTGATATTACTTGTAATAATATAAGGCTTGCCTGTTCATGCTGAGAAAAGGTAGTGTGCATCCACATGCATCTTTGTGCGGGCTAATTGCTCTAATCCCCGACAGTACAATCGAAGGGCAGATGTTTAGTGCATTCACGCCAACGCTCCACGGAGTCCGGCATATAAAGTAGTCCTCAATCTTTTGAGTTCGTGATTCTCGTCCCGACGCACTTGCTTGGCAGGAGCCCTGCTCTGTTTCCGATCTTACGCTTAGGCCTCTTCCTATTCCTATATAATGCCAGATTCTCGGCAGGCCACTGCTAATACTTTTCTCATCCCTTCTGTGCCTCGTTGATTCACTGTTGATTGACCATGGCAAAGAATCCCAAGCCTCCTCAGGATGAGGCAGACCTCAGGTCTGATAGAGTACAGCGGCGTGTTGCACCGTCTTATTCCCTTCGTTCTATCGGTTCTGAGACCAAGGATAGACGAAAGTCACGCAAACCAGAGACGAAATCACACAGAGATTCGGTACGCCAATGCTCACATTTTTGTATCGTACTACGCTATGACCAGAACAGCCCCCGGTGGCATCCCTTTGATTTCAATGTACTTTTACTGACCGTGCTAGAAATCCTCCATTACGAAGAAGCCCAAAAGCAAAACGACAAAGCGACGCATAGAAAGTGTCTCCGGGTGATGAGCAATATTGAGGAGGAGTTTCAAGAGGTGCTTGAGGAGAGAGATGGAGAGAACCACGATATTTCTCAGTTGCTGGACCAGCTCGAAGTCGACAAAGCACGAAAGATTTCGGAATTGCAAATCGTAGTTACGGCAAGGGATGCTGCATTAGCCGAGCAGCAGAAGCTTCAGCGGGAGATTTGCCAATTGCAACAGCAGCTGGAATCCCCGAACACCGCACTGCAAGATCAGGTCCCGTGGAATGATATACAGCTGGTGTTGGATCAGGCACACGCAGAGCTGGTTTCCGCGACCACTCGATTCTGGAGCACGATCGACGCCTTCCAGAACAGACGACTGGCATCCTATTTGCCAGTCTCCGGAATGATCGAGGCAGAATGGCCCGATCAGGGCGGCGCGGGTACGTTTGGCCACGATATGCTCCCCAGCATCTCTCAATCGAACAATGACAATATCCAGCTTGGTACTCAACATGAACTACCTACCACCAACTGAGATGAATCTTTTGTCTGACAGTTAGGGTGCGTTGGTCTGAGTAAGTCCTCACTTTCCTGCAGAAGACGGCCTTTTCAATGTAGTTGACGCGTAGATAGTTCGTGAAGAAGTATTTTGCTACTTCTGAATTATATATGTCCCGTGACAGACAGTGTGTATTGTAAATTCTATTAATTTTTCCTCAACAGCAGGGCTAAGTGCTTTCGTAATATGAGCACGCCCAAGCACCTGCGCCTCGATACAGTATTCAGCCTCACACCTCTCAAGGAGAGACGCTCAGATAAGCTGCAGATGAGATAAATGACCTTGCCGCGCGGGCCTGTGGATTGGTTACTCGCGTGGGCTCCCCATGCCGTAAAAGGAAGCGCATTGCTAATGGTCCGATCCGTATATTGCTAATATCTGTGCTATGGGTTTCGTGGAGAAACCCGCGCTTCTCTTGCGCATTATAGTCATTATTTCTTCTCAGCGTTCAGCCAAAGCTTGCCGTAGTATTCTGGTCCAACGCAATCACAAATAGCAGTCTCGTTGAGTGAGATATCGCAAGTCGATAGACGTGGCACTGCTGTGCGAGTATCAACCGCTAAGGATCGTACTTCAATAGCCGCAACCAATCTTTAATCATTTATTACATGTCTGAGTCTTGAGCATTATTGTAGTTTTAGCTTTCTTGAAAATTTCCTCACTTATACAGACGGGACGGAGTACAAGCATAGTGGGCCAGTCAACACAAACCAGCTGCAACGATGGAACTAATCAAATATTTAATCTACTCGGCAACAAATAGTGGCTCGCGACTACAGCCCGTCGGTTCAGGAGAGCCATCTCGGCACAGTTCATATACCAGTCATAGTTTTCCGTCTGCACAGCTAAGGGAAGCATAGATAAAACAGGAAGACCCCAATGCAACAACAAATGATATGTCGCTCGCCATGGCATTAGCTTGGCACTGAGTCAATCGAGGCTTATCCAGTGACCGTCCAATCCAGCATCGATGATGAGCGTGTCCTATTCTGTTGGTTGAACTGGTGGTCATACCTCAAGACCAATACAGACTGATCTTGCTCTGATATACATGATGTGATACCCAAGTAAACCTCCAGTCGCATCACTGCTGCCGACGCAGGGATCGTCCGATCTTCTGGCCCTCTGTAGCTTTGTTTGAACCTTGCCGTGTCCCCTTTAGGATCTCACTTTCGACGAGTGCCAATCGACCAAAAATGTCGGCCAGATCATTGCGTATCAATTCATTCCAGGTGGTTTGGTCCTGCGATGAGCGCTCAATAGACCTGCGGAGACTGTTAGCGCTTTACATTGTCACTCAAGATGGACCACAACTGACCGCATCCGGTTATCTAGCCTGGATGTTGTTAGCAGGCCAATCATGATTATGTGCTTGATAGAATTGTACTTACTCCGTCAGGCATTCCAGAGCAACCGAATTGCCATCTCCGGAAAGCTGAGTCTGCCCGCGTGGTTCCAAGTCCCTTTGGTGTCCAAACACAGACTTCCGCTGTCGTACAGCTTCTTGCTCACTCTCATCGGCCGAGGTGCTATTGTCCTGGTCGACAGAGTCGTGTTCCTCCTGAAAGGATGAATCGTCCTCTGTGGTATCGCCTGTAGCGGATCTGGATGGACTACCAGTATCCTCAGACTCGGAGGACGACAAGGACAATGCACGTTGCAACCGGCTTCGAAAATTTTGTCGTCGAGGAGCGTGCGAGACTTTACGAATTCCGCCCATACTTGCGTCTGAGTTGCGCTGGGGTGACGAGTGGTCCTAGTTCCGATTTTTTTTGATAGAAGGAGGCGCTCGGGTTTTATGGCAATGTTGTATCGGGGGATCAGGATTGACTGTTTGCTTGCTCGCAATTGAGGAGGGGTTCGCAAGTGCACGCATTTTTCATTCCTACTTTCTACCCGTAGATATCTATTGCTGAATCTGCACATTTTTTAACAATGACTCACTAAGAGGCGGATCAGACAATAGAATTTACCAATTGGTGAAACAACGGGAAATTGTCAACAAGAACGGACTCTTGTGGCCGCGTTCAACGTTGTTGATTCTCAACGATGTGCGTTGGATCAAAAATGAGGGCTCGTTTGGGTCTCATAAACACATAAAAGTCGGTTTTATCTGCCACGCTTCAATCTTTTAAACTCAACAACCTACATCTACAAGTTCACTTTCTGCAGTTTTCTTCACCTGTTCTGACCACTTCTGCCAACTACCAAAGTATAACCATGTCCCCACGTAACGCATGCGGCTGGCCGGAATGGGAGGAGAAAAACCTTCTTCCATGGTTGGATGCCCATCCGGAGCTGTCGTGGAAAGCTCTCTCCGACGCATATTATGAAGAATACCAGGTGCATCGAAGCGTTGAATCTTTACGAGGGAAAAAGTACCATATTCTGCGGAAGCAGAGTCGCACTGGCGCCAAAGCTCCCCAAAAGCCAGGAAAACCAAAGCGAGCCGTTCCCGTACGATGCTCCGTGGTCGGTAGCGCTTCACAGTCGAGTCTTTCAGCCAAGACCCCTGCCCGAAGGAACATCGACAAATGGTTCCAAACGATTCTAGCGGTCGACCCTAACCAGCCTGATGACAGCAAAAGGCCAACTCAAACGAACCCAATTCCAGGTACGAAATACTTAATCGTCTCATATTACATGCTGATCCTTTATCACAGACCGCTTGACGCCAGCACCGCTTCCGTGCCGGCCTAAAAGAACACGGTCGTCATCCTGGAGGTGGGACTATGTGCATCGTGTCTGTGCTGCTAGGAAGCTGAGATACCGGCGAACAGAGCGTGCACTTTAGCAGCATTCATCGGCTGGATCGCTACATAGCGATATCCAGGGAACAGTGGTCAACTACCCCTATACACTTGTCCAAGTAAATGTTACTACATCAAAGGCTGTGATCAGCAATGAAGCCTCAGCATGAGGAATATAAGCGTAGCTGTATATCATTCCATGTATTCCGTAGAGGAAGTAGCAATCGCCCTTCTTAGGAATGACAACAATATAGAGGATGTCCCAAAGTCAAAGGACTCGAGCACGATGGTGGTGCCCTTGGATCAGGCCCGCCCACACATTTTTATCCTTGTCATGCAGAACCAGGAGGATTTCATCGGAGTGTTATGTGGCCCGGGAAGTCCTGCGGACAGCGTATAAGGATTCACGATACTCTGAATGTTCCCGTAGGGAGACAGGACATGGTAGCAAGGCGGCTCTGGGAAAATGGAAATACGGCATTCTTGTCGGCTCAATGTAATACGTCTGCTTGGACTTGATTGGATTGATGGTCGAAAGCAGGGTAATCTTGGGGTGAAGCGTACGATTTGTTTTGACCTACACCCAAGTCAGGAGGAAATTAGTTTGACAGAGACCGTGGAATCACGAGGGCAGCTGACGATCATTAGCGGAACCGCAAATCATTCGACTGCTTAGTTTGGATGACCCATGGAATCGCCTGCTCGGTGAGAGAATGCGGTCGTCATGAAGGATTCAGGCCCGGGCTGCTGCCCCACTTGCTTTCTAGGTTACTCGTGATTAAGCCCTACAGCCCAAAAGAGAAGCCCAGAGAATTGGGGCAGATTCACGACAGTCTCGACCTGCCCATGTACGGGGAACTCGAAGAGACCAGCAGTGTACTAGAAAGATTCTCTCTCGCTACAGTCGTAATCAAGATGCGGAGGGTAATTGAGATAAAGTTTAGGGGCCGTAGGAGGGCCGGCCCACAACCTCAATCTATTTCCGGCAGCCAATCGGTTCCTCGGTTTTAGTGCAAAAACTGGAGATATTTTTACATAAGCTCATGAGATCTGTCCATGATTGGCATAGTTTCTACAAGCTCTCTGCTAGACATATCGGACTGGTTATTGAATGGGGGTTGATGATGGGGTTGTGTCGGATTCAACGAGAGTATTCTCTTACGCGAAGCTTTATGCAGGACAGAAGACATAGCTTCTAGAACGTTCTACAGACAGATAGACAAAGGGCAGCTTGCCATTTGACAGGAGAACTTACTTTCCTGTGACAGGAACCAGGAAAACATAACCACGGATCGGGATTTAGCCTAACATTCTGTTGCCAGAATTCCGCGCGATATTCCAAATACCTCACCTGCCTGGACCGTACCTCGGCCGTACCCTCTACGCAACAAAATCCTTTTCAACCGGACACTGACAGCCGTCAAGTTTGGGCTTGTGGATCGGTCTGGACCTTTGCAAATCCTTCACTTCTTCTCCGGGCCATAAATAGAACCTCCTTGAACTAGTGTCCCGTGGGTCGTCGCTGGGATCTGCATCGCAGAACCGTACCTGCGTCTGTCTAAATTCGCGCATTGTGTTTGATTGGTCCGTCGGGTGCTGTTTGTATCCAGTCTCATCAATGTGATAGTAGCGTTGCAATCTTGCGAGGGGGTGGCGATCACGCGAACCTAGCTCGTGGGCCTGGTTGCACATTTCACATGGTTGTCCTAGGCTCGGTTTCCTATGGAAACTTTCCAATAAGCTCTGGGCTTTTGTTTATGCCCTCCCAAAGAAGGACAATCCTCATCCTGAGCTTGAGAGTATGTCATTATCTGTGTGCGGTAAGGGAATAGAGATTCTGGTAAAAGCAACATTAGCTGGCTGCGAGTAGACAGGGAAGAAACAACATTCAGCGGCGCGGGGCCAAGGATGAACAGGATTGATTCGAGCGAGACCAAAGGATCCTCCGGCCAACCGCAGGTACAGTCCAGCGTTTCTGTCAGCCAGAAATTTCTCAACCTATTATTTTGGCATCTGTTGAAGCACTTCAACCCTCATGAAAGAGACGGTGACCGTGGCTAAAACAGGCAGATGTAGGGTGCCACCGCGTTGAGCGATTTAATTGCGAACTCAACAATATGTAGGAATCAAATTTTTGCGGCGTTGCTTTCTTTCAGCAGTTGATGAAAGTGGTTCACCATACTCAACGCAAGATTTGAGAGAAATGATCCCAGGTCGAAACTTGAGTCTATAGGCCACAAATCCTCCAAACACCATTTCAACGTCGTTCGACTTGCTTCAACGCCAACCAAAGGACAGTGATCTCTCTACCCTCGGCGCAATGGTTCCACGGTAGAGACTTGACCGAAAAATTATAAAAGGGGCCGGATTCCCAGCCCAAAAAACTCAGGACTTCCATCCTCACACTTTGGTCCTCACACTTTGATGCATCGTACTGTCCCTCTCTTCCCTGCGGGCTTGAGAGCTTCCGTGACCACGGCTGTCGCTGCCACGAGCCCAGCGATGTAAGACTGTGCTCCCTCGCTGCCATGAGCCCCGCGAGCGTAAAAAGGTGCTTCGCAGGATAGGTCTGCGTGAACAACAATCCTCGCAGGGAGGTGCTGCGTCAACAAGACTACCTCGCAGGATAGGTCTGCGTCAACAACAATCCTCGCAGGGAGGTGCTGCGAAAACAAGACTACCTCGCAGGATAGGTCTGCGTGAACAATAATCCTCGCAGGGAGGTGCTGCGTCAACAAGACTACCTCGCAGGATAGGTCTGCGTTAACAACAATCCTCGCAGGGGGGTGCTGCGAAAACAAGACTACCTCGCAGGATAGGTCTGCGTGAACAATAATCCTCGCAGGGGGTGCTGCGAAAACAAGACTACCTCGCAGGGGGGCGCTGTGATGACAAGTGAGACCCGCAGGAGACCGCTGCGTTAACAAGTTCTCTGCAGGAGACCGCTGCATTACCAAGTTCTCCGCAGCCTAGGTCCTGTGTCAACAAAGCGCCTCGCAGGGACATCTGCGACACCAAGAGTCTCCGCAGGGACATCTGCGACAACAAGAGTCTCCGCAGGATGGGCTCTGCGTCAACAAGTGTGCTTCGCAGGATGGGCTCTGCGTCAACAAGTGTGCCTCGCAGGATGGGCTCTGCGAAACCAAGTACTCCAGACCTTCCGTGACCACGGCTGTCGCTGCCACGAGCCCAGCGATGTAAGATTTGCGCTCCCTCACAGCCAATGAGCCCTGTGTATGTAAAAATGTGCTCCCTCACAGCCAATGAGCCCTGTGACTGTAAAAATGTGCTCCCTCGCTGCCCTGAGCCCCGCGAGTGTAAGAGTGTGCTCCCTCGCTGCCCTGAGCCCCGCGAGTGTAAAAATGTGCTCCCTCGTTGCCCTGAGCCCCGCGAGTGTAAGAGTGTGCTCCCTCGCTGCCCTGAGCCCCGCGAGTGTAAAAATGTGCTCCCTCGTTGCCCTGAGCCCCGCGAGTGTAAGAGTGTGCTCCCTCGCTGCCCTGAGCCCCGCGAGTGTAAGAGTGTGCTCCCTCGTTGCCCTGAGCCCCGCGAGTGTAAAAATGTGCTCCCTCGTTGCCATGAGCCCCGCGAGTGTAAGAGTGTGCTCCCTCGTTGCCCTGAGCCCCGCGAGTGTAAAAATGTGCTCCCTCGCTGCCCTGAGCCCCGCGAGTGTAAGAGTGTGCTCCCTCGTTGCCCTGAGCCCCGCGAGTGTAAAAATGTGCTCCCTCGTTGCCCTGAGCCCCGCGAGTGTAAGAGTGTGCTCCCTCGCTGCCCTGAGCCCCGCGAGTGTAAAAATGTGCTTCGCAGGACGAGCTCTGCGTCAACAAACGTGCTTTGCAGGGGATTGCTGCGTTAACAAGCCCTCTAGCAATGTGCAGGCACCTCTTCGTGGTGTTAGAGACCAGTATTCGATATTCAACAGTATTCGAAGAAGCAAAGACCTGCCCAACCTCCTCATAGTCTGTTTCTTTTTCCGAAGGATCATCATTGGATAGATAGAATGAGCCCTAGATAGATCGTCCCAAATTCAATGGCCAACATTATATAACAACGAAAGTGTCATTTTTATCAAAGGGGAGGTTCCCAAATGTTCTGCACTGATGGTTTGCGATCCGATAGTCCTTTCGCGTAGTGAAATTGACACCCTTCATTCAGGCGTAGAGCAAACATGTTGGTGAGAATTGGTGAGAGTGTTGAAGTGTTGAGAGTTGAGAGTTGATCTGTTGAGAGTTGAGAGTTGATGTGTTGATGTGTTGATGTGTTGGTGTTTTGATGTGTTGATGTGTTGATGTGTTGATGTGTTGATGTGTTGATGTGTTGAGAGTTGAGAGTTGATGTGTTGATGTGTTGATGTGTTGGTGTGTTGATGTGTTGATGTGTTGATGTGTTGATGTGTTGATGTGTTGATGTGTTGATGTGTTGATGTGTTGATGTGTTGATGTGTTGATGTTTGTGTTGAGGTGAGTGATTTTCTGATTGAATGTTTTATTGATTGATTGACTTATTTACAGAAGAGGGGTAGCCCGTCTTTATATCTCCGACCCTAATCCACTCCATAAGCTTAGCCGCCGTGATATTCAACACTCCCACTCGATGGCAACCGTCACCAAGGGAGCCGATGACCATTCATCACGGTTGCGGCGGGCCCCATTAAAACCTTTAAAAACCCTTTTTGAGGGAAAAGAAGGAAAGGGTACCCTTGTAGCTCAGTCTCTGCTGAAGGCCAGTAAGGTGTGGTCATCACTCAATACCAAGTCCTCTCCGAAACCATTCAAATCGTTGTCGTGCAAGAGGTTTGGTGAACCCATCGGCAATTTGTTCGGTAGTTGGAACATACTGCAGTTCTACCGTTCCAGTGTCTTGCACCTCTCCTTGCCACTTGCGTTGGATTTCCATATGCTTCGTGCGGGAATGGTATTGCGGGTTCGAGGACAGGGCGATGGCTCCTTGGTTGTCACCACAAATGATCGTTGCGGTTTTTCCTTGGCTCATGTTTAACTCATTGAGAAGTCTTCTCAACCAGATTGCTTCTTTGGTTGCTTGTGTCTGGCCTAGGAATTCAGCTTCACAGGTCGAGAGGGCAACGACGCTTTGGCGCTTCGATTGCCAACTGATTGCTCCACTCCCGATATTGAAAAGGTATCCAGCTGTTGAACGTCTAGTGTCGCGACATCCACCCCAATCTGCGTCTGTAAAGCCTTTCAGCATCTGGGGCTGACCCTTGTACGTGAGCCTGAGGCCTTTTGTGCCGTTGAGATACCGCAGGATGCGTCGAGCGAGTTTCAGGTGTTGTGGCCCAGGATTCGCTAGATGCCTGCTTGCCATAGAGACGGCATACGCGATGTCCCCCCTAGTCCCAAGCATAATGTACATCAGAGATCCGACAACGCGTTGGTATATGATTCTTTGATCTGGAGGACAGCTGTATCCTGGATTATTCTCTGGAAGTGGTGAGGTTTCTATCGGTGTGCTGAGGGGAGCGCCGTTGCTGATTCCGAACTGGTGAGCAACCTTGTCAATATACGCTTCTTGACTTAGGTACAGTATCCTGTTTTGACGGTCTCGCTGGACAGACATCCCGAGATAGTAGCTGCATGGTCCTAGATCTGTCATTTGAAAACGGTTTCTGAGGCTCCGCTTGATCTTCTTTATTTCCGCGATGCTTGGCCCCACGATCAGGAGGTCATCGACGTACACCGCGATGTACATATTGCTCCGGACGAAGATCCCAAGATCAGCGCTGATTGGCTCGAAGCCGAGATTTCGTAGGAAATTTGTCAGGGTCTGGTACCAGATCCGAGGAGCTTGTTTTAAGCCATAGAGTGCCTTTCGAAGTTTGCAGACCCTGGATGTGCCGTCGGTCATGTGGTGAGGCTGTTCGACGTAGATCTCGTGGTCTATGTACCCGTACAGGAATGCCGTTTTGACATCCATTTGCTCGATCTCTAGATCTAGGGCCGCCGCGATTGCGAATAGAGCTTTGTAGCTCATTGGCTTGACAACCGAGGCAAAAGTTTCGTCATAGTCGATACCCTCTTCTTGTGTAAAGCCTCTCACTACCCATCGGCTTTTGTAACGGATGACTTCGCCATGCGGTCCTCGTTTGAGTTTATAGACCCATTTTCCACTGAGAATCCGCCGATCTTTGGGAGGATTAACAAGCTCCCACGTCTTGTTTTGGTTGAGCGAGTTCACTTCTTCAAGCATTGCTCGTTCCCATTCGAGCCAGCTTGCGTCGTTCTTCGCTTGATGCAGAGACTTTGGCTCAAAAGGTTCTGTTTCCTTTGCAGCTACTGTTAAGAATGTTGGAATGACGTTTTCTTCAGGTATATTCATTAGCGTAAGCTCTTCTTCGCTGTCACTAAAAATTTCTAGTGTGACGTGCGGAGCCCGAATTTTGAGTTCAGGGTGATGTTCTAGTGCTTCTTGTCGCACTTCATGAACTGGGCGGTCAAGTTGGAGTTCTGGAGATCGTTGCCATTCTCCTGAAACTAGACCTTGTTGAGCGTCGTCTTGTTGCTGGTCGCCGCCGGGTGGTGAGTCATTCCTTTGGATGATGTCTTGTAAATCATCTGCAAATGGTCCAAAGGTATCATCACTCCGTGTAGGCGACAAGGTCCTGTCTCCCTGTACAGCAACAGATGGCTGCGAGTCATCGTCACTCGATTGAGACGACACTGGTGTCTGCGAGTTCTCGTCACTCGACTGGGTTAGCACTCGTGAGTTATCGTTACTCGATCGAGGCAGTATGTGCGAGATATCTTTCCTCGACTTAGGTAGGGCTCGCTCTGGTGGTGCCATCGACAACTGGCGCCCAGAGGCGGGCACGGATGCTTGCCGTATGCCTACCGACGGTTGATTTATTAGTCCCACCGTCTTACTCCCCCTGCGGCAGCAGCCGTTGCCCCAGGTGAGCCGTCTCGTCTGGCTCCCACATCTTCTATAGTCTGTGTGGAAGGAGCTGTAAGGACTTCGTGAAATTCAGCGTTTGGGGTCCCAACGATTCTTCCGTCTTCCAGCAGGATACGGTAGTTGGTATTTCCCTCATAGCCTAGTAGAATGCATGGCCTGGTTCTTGGCTCTGTGAGCTTCTTCCTCTGCTTGGGTGGGATCAAGTATTCCCCTTTGGATCCGATCACTCTGAGTCGTGATAGGTCCGGCTTGTCGCCGTACCAGGCTTGATACGGAGTCATGTTGAGCTTTGATGACGGCGACCGGTTGGAAAGGAATGCTGCGGTTCGAGCAATTTCTGGCCAGAATTTAGGTGGTAGTTTTGCATGTGCTAGCGTGGGTCCAACCCGATCATAAATTGTCTTATGGGCTCTCTCGGCAACCCCATTCTGCTGGTGTTGATCAACGCCTGTGACCTCGGCATGGATTCCCCGTGAGAACAGTATGAACTTCATCTCTTCTCCCACTTGCTCAGGGATCCGATCGAGGCGTATTCGTCTACACTTCCGTTCAGGGCGTTCGTTATGATCAAGGAAGAAACGTAGTGACTCTATGACAAATTCTTGTCGTCGTGGTATAGGGACAATCTCTATCCACCCTGTGAAGTCGTCGACGACGGTGAGCCAATAGCGACTGCCATCAAGGCCCTCGTCAAATGGCCCTGCGACATCAATATGGAGAAGTTCCATTGCATATTCCCCTCGTCTCCTTCGTCCCAAGCGGTTGTGGGGCTTTTCAATCATTCGTCCCTGGAGGCATGGGTTGCATGGTTGACGTGGTTCCATGTCCCGGATGCCGACGGCCTGTTTCTTAAGCCGATGTAGGTTCGCATCGCTCAGGTGAGCCATCCGATTATGCCAAAGAGCCATTTGTGGACCAACATGGTAGGAGGGAAAGGTGAGATTCGTCCATAGATCAAGTGCGTAAACTCCATGATATTGGCTGGCAGTGTATAGGTTCTTTCCGTGTGACTTGTTGCGAATACTAGCACTTTGGCTTGAGAATTCGACTTTTGCTCCTCGTTTGAGAAGCTGGAGCACCGATATGAGGTTTGCATGTGCAGATGGGACGTAGAGGACATTGTCAAGCACAAGCCATTTCCTTCTGCCTCGTACATTGCACAGAACATTGACTATCCCTACTCCCGAGGGAGTCGTGGAGGTATCGACGCTTCTCAGTGGTGGTCCATGGTACTTGTCCATCTTTACAAATCTCGAGGCGTTATTGCAGACGTGCTGAGCACATCCACTATCGACGATCCATGCGTCACGGATCGATAGGGTTTTTGTAGCCATCAATGTGGGGATGCTGTCGACTAGAGCGAAGTTGCCTTCAACGTCCTTTCCAAATGCTGTATTAACATCTTCTCCGGAGACCTTTGTCGCCATGAAGGTGGGCTTCTTTGGATCCCTTGGACCACCGACATCATCGTCTTCGTCATCTGAGGAGGGCCGCCGCTTATACGGCTTGCGTGCGCCTGTATGTGAATTGCCTGGCTTTGACTTGTGGCTCTTTCCGTCTTTCTTCTTATCCCTCGGTCTGGGATTCTTGCTGAAGCACTCAGAGTCCACATGATAAGGTTTCCGGCAGAAGGAGCAATATGGGACGTTATCGATCTCGATTCGACATGTTGTTCCGTCGGATGAGGGTATGACTTTCTTGTCACCTGGCCCTCGGATTATAGCGAGAGCAGGAAGCGCTTGCGCCTCTGTTGGTTGTTTGCTCAATTGTCCCTTCCTATGTTCTTCCTCAATTGCCTTGTTCTCGATATAGTCGAACGTGGGCGCCGCTTTGGTGATGTTACCATTGGCATCTCTTTCGTTAACAAGGTCCATTTGCCGAAATATATGATCACGGAAACTTTCATACTCAGGACCTAATGCGTGCACGAAAAAGAATGTTCGCTCAACCTCGGAGCTCACGCAGTCGGGGTCAAGGAGAAGTTTCTCAGCGTGAATCTTCCTGATCTCGGCCCCGAGGGCTTGAGCGCTTCCACATTTCTCTCTTGTGAGGCACATGTACCGTCGCTGGAGGTTAACGTATGTGCCAGTGCCTTCTGGTTTGAAGTTGTCTTTCACTGCCTTTAAGAGTGCGTGGACTCGAGAGATCTCAAAGGCGTTGATCCTTTGTGCCGCATTATGGGTCAGCTTTGCCGTGATCATCGCAGAGTAGAACTTTTGGCGATGAGTCCATTGCCGTGCTTCTTCTTCCTCTATCGGTGGAGTCGTTCCATCGTCGGCAACGGCGGATATCCGAATGAACTCATTGACCTTCTGATTCCACTTAAACCAGTCACTGGCATTATCAAGTATTGGAATGCCATTGTAGAATGCATTTAACCCAAACTGCTCAAATTTCGCGATGTCAGTCATGGTGTAGGTAGACGCTCCTCTGAACTGAGGAATTCTGGGCTTGATCCGTCGTTGGGCAGACTTGGGGTAACCGAGGAGTGGCGATCTGATGAGCTAAGGGAGCGCGCTTCTAACCCAAAGAGTTCTAGACTTGATGCGGTACTAGGCAGACTCGAGATAACAGAAGGGCTACGGTCAGATGCGTCTGTCGTAGGCGAATGAGGTGGAGGAGCGTAGTCTCCGTCCGGTACGCCGTCCAACTTCAAGTGGTTTTTATATGACTTAAAGAAGTGGGGAAAGCGAAGACGATCGATAGGATATTGTGTCTGACTTTCCAGAAAGCTTCTACACCTGTTTTGCCGAAAATTGTACCGGTTTGTCCCATCCATGGGTATTAGAGTTTGGTTGTCTTCCTCATTCCTTAAGGCAGAAGGTTTGTGAACTCCGATGTTGCCTTCCGGCTGAGGCGCAGGATGGGGCCGATGGTCTGTTTCCGGTATAGGATGAGGGCGTGAAGAATCTTTGTTTCGAGAGGCAGTGCGGGAGGTAGTGACCGAACCAGAGACAATCGATGCACGGTGTGCACGCTCCTTAAGAGGAATACGGCTATAAGCCCCCAAAAGTGACGACTCTGTGAATGATGGGAAATGCTTCCTTTGGATTCGAGCGTAGGACCAGTGACGGGTCCGGCAATACACAAGTAAATTGAGCTCTTCATCCGTCCACCGATGCCAAGGTTGTCTCGGAACTAATTTCTGGGACTGAGAAAGAATAGTAGTAGGTTGAGCCTTGCGCCTCGTCATCCTTTCTTCTTGCCTTAATGGTGTTGGAAGGAGGGTGATATATAGCCAGGATCCGACCCTGTTCCCGTTGTGTTGTTTCCGTTGGATTTCAGTCATCAAATCATATGGGGTAGCGGCGTGATATCCTGTGATAGTGATAGTGATCGTGTGATAGTGTGATAGTGATAGTGATAGTGATAGTGATAGTGATAGTGACGTCTGTGATTCGTATCGGGAGGAGGTCGATTCTTTTCATTCCCCCCAGAGATTTTGAACTGTTGACTTCGACAGTTTTTCACCAAGTTACTGAATAAATGTGGTCAGATCCTTGCACTGATGAAGTTTTCACTTAATAGGGAAACTTAGCTAAGGGTTGCGCCACCCGGGCTCATAACCTGTTGAGGTGAGTGATTTTCTGATTGAATGTTTTATTGATTGATTGACTTATTTACAGAAGAGGGGTAGCCCGTCTTTATATCTCCGACCCTAATCCACTCCATAAGCTTAGCCGCCGTGATATTCAACAGTTTGATGTTGATGTTTGATGTTGATGTTTGATGTTGATGTTTGATGTTGATGTTTGATGTTGATGTTTGATGTTGATGTTTGATGTTGGTGTTTGATGTTGATGTGGTGAATGGTCGGGCGGTGAAGGGAGTGCTGGTCACCGTCTCACAGAGGCAACGCGGTCTCTTGCCATGTCCTCACATCATAGAAACTTCAATTGACTTTTTTTTTTTTTTGATCCTGCAAAGCAATTTTGATCCCTGTTGGTCACACCTTGACTATGGCCTCGAAATAATTGTGCAACTCTGATCATGCAATATACTGTACACTCAAGATCAGAACTAGGAAGTGTAGAGCCATGTGATGTATTTCGTAAATCCGAATCACGGATTCAATCCAAGATGATTATGCAATAGGCTCAGTTTCTTGCGTCGCGAAAAAAATTGCTTGAAATGACTATTGCTAGTCACTCGAACCTATTCTACACTAGAATGCCTACATCATAGAGCGACTACGAGAGTGAGTGTTTCGTTCTCCCGAGGTTAACATGTCATTGGTAGCTTTGGCTCAAGAATATCTGACCCGCTCCTTCTACACGTAGGAGCCGTCGCAACTTTGTGAATAATATCCCGCCAGTAAATCCAACCAATCTCTCGTAGAAGTCCACTACAGCGATGAAGAAACGGTCGTTACCTTCTGTGAGGCTTATTCCCCACTACATGCGATAAATCATGCTCCGCTGCTGATATAGCATGATTGATTCCGATCGGGGTCCAACGAGCCATCTGAAATCAGAACTGGTAAAGACACTCTCCACAATCACTGCTCGGGACCTGGTGATTTGTACAGGGGTGTTCTCACCCACGTGTGACCCTAGCAGGCATCCGCTCAAATCCTCCCCAAGCAAATGTAACATGAGCGCTTATCGGGGTAGATAATTCGTATAGGCTGTACGGGACATTCAGAGGTCCTACAACCCGAGGGCTCTTGTGATGCTGTTACAGACATCAAACCCACCTTCACGGTGAATTGCTCAACAGTGATATGCCAGATATCGCCTTGGGCGCGGAGAAATACATCATAGATGGTCAGAGCACAGTGAGCTCGGGAGGTAGAGAAGTCGATTTGCTGGCAAGACCTGCTTCCCCTCCAATTGCGTTATGTTAGACAGGTTCTCAATGGACAAAGGATACTGGATGGCTTGACTGACCTCCAGCTGCTCTGACATTCAAGGTGTATGGGCTTTGCACGTAGTGCTCGGGCATGGATAGAAAAACACAGGCTTAGGAATGAAATCACCAAGCTTCTGTCTAACAGGGAAAAGCAAACAATCCTGATAGCATGCAGCTCCGTGTATGTCCGAGTGGTTCCCGCTCGCCCGTACATGTCCAAAAGCTCAGCAACCCGGAGAGGAAGAGGAATCAAGATGACTCTATCAGACGTAGTTCTTGGGTTATGGGTCCTCTCAATCGTTTGGCCATCCGCGTCTTGTCCATCGATTCGAAGCTGACATGGCTATTGTTAGTTGATTTGGCTAAAAATGACGGGATGTTTGCCTCACCTTCTCCATGCAAGCAGTCTCGACTAACAACCTCGCGAGTACGAAAATATGGCTCTAGCTAGACAAAGCATTGGCTGCGTTGGCTTCTCTCGGTTTCTTAGGGGTTTTAGGCTCAAAAGACGCTAGACGCCATCCAAGAACAACGATGGCCACCCACTGGACGCCGGGGATCCAAGCCGCAAGTAGGCTATCCCATGTAGGTGTTCGAATGCCGAGAGACAGACACTGCTATGCGCTCTGTGGGGTCTTGCATCAGGTAAGCATACCAACGCGTGATCTGATGAACCAAATCGACTAGAACGTCGAGGGAGAGACTCATCGATGCCACCGGTAGTCATGAGGAAGAAACAGAGCATGCGATGGTGTTGGTGCAGGGTTGAGCAGACAAGACAGTTGATCGCTTCGAATTCGGGTGTGGGAATATGAGGGAGCCTCCTGTTTTGAGACCCGAGTCAGCAATTGTTGATCCAGTTGGACGAGGTGTCGTGCTTTACGTTGTTCATGAAGAATTCCCCGAGTGTACGGTTGAGACAGATGGTCAATTAGGATCGTCATCATACCAGCTTACCAACTAGATCACTGCCAATTCTGTTCTGCAATGCAGTCACCAACACGCCATGTTGTATCCATGTTCGTCGCACTCTCCGGCTGTCGCTTCGAGAAGCCGCGCTGGATGCACGGGCAAGTTCACAAGACGGCAAATGCGCGTGACGAACCCGCCCATGACAAGAAATTGTACAGTCGTAAAGGGAGACCGCTTCCCATAGGCGGCGAGAGGCTGAGGCACTCGTGTGAAAAGGCGGTGAGAAGGGGGAAGACGCGATCCATCGCGCGTCGGCTCCTTGGTCTTATCTGAGTCGGCGGGAATAGGTAACTCGCCACGAGACCTTGCGCGGTTGGCGATGGGCTGCTCCTGCAACGGCATGAAGATGTCAGTAGTGTTCGTGTCTGGGGCACAGACTTGGCACAAATCATCGGACCCGGCGCATCAAGAGCCGCGATATCCACTCACCTTACCATAGAGAACAAGGTTCTCGAGCTTATGCGTCCTGTTGTTGGCGCGCGCCTTTGATTTGCAGTATTTCACATAGGACATGCTGCATGGTTTGAAGTGCCAGGGCCAGAAATGGTGTGTAAGCCATGACTTTGCCCGGAGCACTGACGGAGTGCTGGTTCGGACTCACTCTAGTGCGTTGTCAACGGTTTCTTGCCCATCATTAGCCTGTCGATCGACGAGACAATGCAGGACTTACATGTTCTGAAAGAAGACACGGAGAAAGTTCCGTGGCTTTGTGTGCATTGGACGGAATGCATGGATCTTTCTTTCGCATCGTCTTTGAAGTCAGTCCAGTCTCGGAAAGGGTCGCTCTGGAATCTACATACCTGTATAGAAATTCCTCTTTTGCATCGATATATTCAGGGGCCGGACAGTGGTCCGCTGCTATGATGGACAGATATTCGCATACTTTGACCAGCTAACCCAAATCTGCTTCTTTGATCGGCTGATATAGGTGGCATAGTGGATCTGGTGGGAATCACTTTCTCAGAAGCCCTTTCTAGCTTGTCGGCCTACGACGTATCCATAGGTGTCAGTATGGTGGAAATTCCAGTAGGGTTGAAGGGAAGAACTTATCAGGTGCCTCAAACCGAGGGCCTGCTCGACTTTGCGCAGCAAGTGACAGTGTTGTAGAACAAATTGCTGGGGGAGAGGGCGAATTTATAAGTTTCTCGGCTCCCGTCGCGTACGTGCTCTATTATAGAGCAAACATTCAAGGACACGACGCTATCCTAAGTGAGGTCTGTTGCAATTCTTGCCTTCGTTCTACCGCAACTATTCGCAGCAAAATTTTTGGTGTCATGTTAGATGCCCACCGAGAAAAAACTGCTAGGGTCATGTTGAGAATGAGTCAAAGTGAGTCGATTAAGAAACGTTGGCTCACTGTTGAATCTACGGTCCTAATACTGAGGCAATGGAAGCTGTTCGTTCTTTGATTTCGCCAAGAGTGCTCACATTTTATCTTAGAAAACATGGAAATTTTCTGGCCTCGCTCGAGTGTTGATTGTCTGCGCTGTGTGTTTTTCTGTCCCTCTAGGCTGCGGAAAGCGTCAGGCCGCTGTCGCGCGGGCACGGGTACTCAACCCCTCAACCCGTTGAAGCTTGGCCGTCCTTG